CCAAGATGAGGTTGGGAGAATGAGGAATGGACAAAACCTCAATCTGCAATAACGCTTTTTGACAAACACCTGAAAAAGTTTTTTTTTTTTCTCTAGGGGGATCATTCAGATTTTCCATATTTCATTTTTTTCTTCCAAAATAAAAAAATATTCAAGCAGTATGTCGTAAAATTAACAAATCTGGGAGAGAACCACGCAAGCTACATTAAGTTCAGCACAGAGTATTAAACCCATACAGCTAATGTGGTTTTTAAGAAATATTGGGAATGTGAAGTTGATGCTGACTGGTTATGGACATATATACATGGGTGTCTGGCTGACACATTGGTAATATAAATAGTTCTGCTCGACTTCATCAGCAGTGAAGATAAAGAAAAAGACAAGTCATGATTTGGCATTTTAAAAGATATCCAGTCAATAATACTCAATTCTGTACAAGAACTAATCAAAATTGCTGTAAAGTGTGTTATGATGTCGGTAGAGTGTGTGATTTCGAAAATAGATTTTCATGATAGACATCAATAATTAAATATACTGCAATCAGTTAAAACATGTATACTTTAAGCAGCTTGAAATTAAATGACCATATATATTAGGATAAATTTTAGTTTTTACTAACGGGGGAGATACAAAGCATAGGAATGATTGTTAATTAAGTGGAATTGTCTAGTTGTCTAGTTAGACATCAAAATGTTTTCTATAATTATCATTCCATTTACTGTATTATTTCTGTCGAGCAACAGCTTTGATGTTTAGTTTAGATTATTTACATTTAGGACATTATTAGCGCGATCAATGATTGGTTTAGTACCGACCTATCACTAATTGAGTTTCGGGTCATGTGATCAACACTTGAGAACCTTGTGCCTCCGCCATCATTATTATTTTTTGTTGTTTTCCAAATGGGTGCATTTCCCTTCAGCGAAAATAAATTCCAAGCGAAAATAAAGTATTTTACAGTATTAGAGCACACAGGAAAAGAATAATATATATATTTTACGACACAGAAATATATACTATGTATGCACTAATACAATTCCTATTATGAGTAAACAAATATTACTTACAATAAACATTCAATTTCACTGGCTCAGACGTAGATACGCTATTATCAAACTCGTCATTGACAGCTACACAGAAGAATTCATTGTTGTGGTGATGATATGATAAAACAAGGCTTAAATTTTGTGTTGTTTTTCTCCCATTGAATTCGCCATTGGTGTACATAATTGAGTTAAGATTATCCTTGATTGGTTGATTGTCATGGTACCATTCTAATACTGCATCTGGGTTACTGCTGCATGATGTACATGTCAGGACTATATTGTCATCTTCCATCACGTGGTCTATGTTACTAGGATAACCGGTGAGTTGGGTTACACATGAAGATGAATAACTAGGGGGAACTTAAATAAACAAGCAAATACTGTGTGTCAATAAACAAACAAACATGTAATATTTGATAATGAATAAATAATGGATGTAAATAAATAAACAAATAAATAATGTATATAACAATTAATAATGTAGTTAAAATTGAAAGCTGCAGATCTGAAACTCAAACACAAACTAATCACTATGTATAGTGTAGAATAATACTTACAATATACAGTGATTTGTTGAGTGGTTGAATCTATTGATATACTATTAACCTCAGTAGTAACAGCTTTACATTGATATTGTACCATATTATTAGTTAACTCTAATACTGCATGTATGAATAGTGTAGAATAATACTTACAATATACCGTGATTTGTTGAGTGGTTGAAACTACTGATATTATATTAACCTCAGTAGTAACAGCTTTACATTGATATTGTACCATATCATTAGTTAACTCTAATACTGTATGTATGTATAGTGTAGAATAATACTTACAGTATACAGTGATTTGTAGAGAGGTTGATCTACTGATATACTATTAACCTCAGTAATAACAGCTTT